CAGCATGGAAGGCAACTCTGGTGGTAAGAAACAAATTTTATATCACTGGCTGTGCTTAATGTGGTTCCTAGTAAATCATATGCCATTTCTGGAAATAAACCTATTTCCTACCTCTCTTTGGGTTTATTAAAAATGCTACGAAGTTGCTCCACAGTTCAGGGGGCGAGAGAAAGGTGACACTCATTTATTTAAATCAGTGGGAGATGAGTTTATTTCCCGAAATAGTACAGTAATTCTTTTTCATTAGATGGATGCCTTCTCCATTAGATTTAGATGACTGTGAGGAGAGGGGTAGACTGGCTGGCTCAGAGGCTGGCAGCTCCCGTTCACTGCGTTCTGTTTTCCCCGAGGCAGGCAGAAATGGAATGTCCCAGGTGAAGGTAGACGAATGTATAGAGACGATAAGAGAATCGGAACAATTTGCTGGGTGATGAATCATGCTGAATATTCTTGGGTTACACAGAAATTAGTCCAAACTTTTTATGAGAGGCACGTAATAAAAATAAATGTTCCTAGTTTTAAGTACCCTTTTTCCACCTCTCTTAATGCTACATAGCGTTTGTGAGACGATGACCTCTTCAGGTTCTGCTGTTGAGAAAGCAGGGGAATAAACTCATGACCAACAACATGAGGGATGTGTGGAGTGGGATGAAAACCATCACAGGGTTCCAGAAGTCCACTGGTGTGGGGTTGGAAGGGTGCGTGGACCGGGCCAACGAACTGAACTTATTTTTCAATAGGTTTGATACTGCGGCCCATCCCCCACAACCCTCCACTGCTGGCTTCCCTCCAACGACCACTCCACCTTCTTCCACTCCTCCTCCATACAGACCCCCTGTCTGCTTTTCACCACCGCAATCCACATCCACCGTCTCCACCCCTCCCCCCTGCTTCACATCATGTCCTACACAACATGAGGACCTCACCCCTCCCCCTACAGTTACCTCTACAGTGTCCTTCACTCCTGACCTAGTGAGAAGACAGCTAACCAGACTCCACTCCGGCAAAGCTGCGGGCCCCCATGGTGTACTCCCCTGGGTGCTCAAAGCTTGTTCCAACCAGCTGTGTGGAATATTTAGCCTAGTCTTCAGTCTGAGTATGCTCCTCCAGAGAGTACCTGTGCTGTGGAAGACTTCCTGCCTCGTTCCGGTGCCAAAGACGTCGCGCCCTAGCGACCCTCAGGACTACAGACCGATAGCACTGACGTCCAATATCATGAAGACCTTTGAGAGGCTAGTCCTGGAGCAGCTAAGGCCCATGGTCAGGCCCTTCACTGATCCACTACAGTTCGCCTACCAGCCCCGCCTGGGAGTTGAGGACAGCATCATCTTCCTGCTGAACAGAGTCTACAATCACCTGGACAAGCCGGCGAGCACTGTGAGAATCATGTTCTTTGATTTTTCCAGTGCCTTCAACACCATCCGCCCAGCTCTACTAGGTGAGAAGATGACTGCGATGCAGGTGGAGGCCCCCATCGTGTCCTGGATTGTTGATTACCTGACGGGCAGACCACAGTATGTACGCCTACAGAACTGTGTGTCTGACAGGGTGGTCAGCAACACTGGGGCGCCTCAGGAGACTGTCCTCTCCCCCTTCCTCTTCACCCTTTTCACCTCTGACTTCAGCTATTGCTCTGAGTCCTGCCACCTTCAGAAGTTTTCTGATGACTCAGCAATTGTTGGCTGCATTGAAAAGGGTGAGGAGAGTGAATACAGGACTGTGGTGGGCAACTTTGTCACTTGGAGTGAGCTGAACCACCTGCAGCTCAACGTGGCAAAGACTAAGGAGCTAATAGTGGATTTGAGAAGGACAAAAACACCTGTGACCCCTGTTTCCATCCAGGGGGTTCCTGTTGACATTGTGGAGGAGTATAAGTACCTGGGAGTGTACTTTAACAATAAGTTGGACTGGACTAGAAACACCGAGGCGGTCTACAAAAAGGGCCAAAGCCAGCTATTCTTCCTGAAGAGGCTGAAGTCCTTTAACATCTGTGGGACAATGCTGAGGATGTTTTATGAGTCTGTTGTTGCTAGCACGCTTTTCTTCGCTGTCACATGCTGGGGCAGTGGGCTGAGGGTTGCTGAAAACAACAGACTGAACAAACTGATCAAGAGGGCCGGTGATGTTGTGGGGGAGCAGCTGGACAGAGAGGAGGATGCTGTCCAGGTTTCAGTCCATCTTAGACAATGACTCACATCCTCTCCACGACACACTGGTCCAGCATTAGAGCTCCTTCAGCAGAAGACTCCTCCTACCCAGATGCACCACAGAGCGCCACAGGAAATCATTCCTGAGATACCTGTGGTCATCAATCTATATAACGCCTCCCTCAAGTGATTCAGCCCCCCCCCCGTAATTGACATTTATGCACTATTTTTGCACGCCACGTATCACTTTACTTGGATTTATCACTTTACTTGGACTTTTCACTTTATTTGGATTTAGTTTTTACATATGCATAGATATACGTATAGATATATCTACAAAAAAGCTATATGTGTATATATTTTATCTCTTTTTATTCTTATTTTTTATCTTATTATATTGTATAGTTGGATGTGTGTATATATCATGTAAAACTGTAACTGGAGCGTGTTACAAAAGTAATTTCCCTCTGGAATTATTAAAGTATTTCTGATTCTGATTCTACTGGTTGAAAAAGTTCTTTAATAGTTTGGTCCTGCATGTAACTTGTGGCCAAGGTGGCAAAAGGATCTTGGAAGTCATCAAATGTTGCTAATGTCTCATTACGGAGCTGATCCATGCTGTCTGTATGTCCATGTCTTTCAAAAACATTCCGGTCTCTGTCCAGCAGGTTTTCCAAAAGGGCAAATTGAAACTGTTGCACTTCTCTCACAATGATATTGACATTCCAATGCATTCAGAGACAAAGAGCATTCTGCTAAAAAATTATAAAATTTGTTCCACTATGAAAGTATTTGTATTTTTCTGGCACAACCCCTTTTTAGAGACTGACAAAATAATAATAATAATAATAAAATAAAAAAAATCTACAGAGCTTAGAAAAATGCTGTCTTTTTACTGTACTGTTCTGACCACATGTACCAATAGATAAATAAAAAAATGTGCCCCAAACAAAGACTAATATAACAGATAGGTAGATAATTTACCTGAGAAATGCAGCATCTTTCACGAACACCAGCGGTGAATGCAGCAGCACGTCTGATTAAAACCTGTTTTAAGAAAATGGGAGCCACAAAAGAAGCCATTGGTATTATATATTTCCCTTAATTAAAACATTTTATAACATAGTTTTCTCAATTTGACACAGCACAAAAAAAAAAAAAAATTAAATGGAAGATCTTATTCATTGAATATTGATTACAGGTCTTAACTGCGATTGGATGCATGTTTACACGTTTGGTTAAACATCCTATTCTTAATGGGCTGCATCAAGTAAGTGCTGCACCACTGCTAATACTTAAGTAAATTTATGTTGATGAGGCTGTGAAAAGCACATCTAGATTAAAACCTAATGCTGAAAACTGTTCTGTTGATGTGTCCTCTGCTTCTCGCATGATAATCCGACCGGTAACCTGTAGCCTTTTAAGGATGGGACCTGCCAGCTGTTACCAGCATGCTAGTGGATTCTCCTGTAAACATCTTGCACAACTAAGGCAAATGGTAAGTTTACATTTGCAGCATTAATTAACATAGCCTATGACAGCAACAATCATAGACATTAGTTGTCTATAATGCCCAATTTTCTTTCCCAATGCGACATTAGCCTTTCTCAGTCAGTCTCGTTTTAAAATCGAATGTAGCTCGTATAACCTGTTAACAATGACTGAGGTTTCCCAGAAATATTATGCTGGTCGATTATTCTTACCGTGTTGGGGGTTGTTTGGACTTCAGCTAGTTGAAAATTATGAGGATGACCATCATGCCTTTCCTCTTCTTGGTCCAGAGGGTGGTTGTTCCAGTTAGCTCTAACGAGCCGTTGGCCTAGTTAGCTTCGAGGGTGGCGGGGTCCTCTTCAGTATCACTAGTAGCACTGCCTGTAGAATGAATGGATGAAGCAAAGCCGGAGAAAATGGGTATGTCGAACCGTTCATCTCCAACATCGGCTGAGTGAGTCAATGTAGAAAGGACTGGTGGTGGGCGTCCATTAGCCAGGTAGGAAGCATGTCTTTGTTTAATGTGGTAGTAGAACAAATTAAATACTCAATATTCTTCTGTAAAGCCATCCATTCCACACATACCACGAAATTTAGGATTTCGTCCATTGGCTTTGTGGATGTGGCTCAGTAGAACTTTTAAAGTCAATGCCATAAACACGAAACAAATAACACAATGCCATCCTGCCGACATCTTTAGAGAGTTAAGGGGATTTTGAAAATAATGGCTGTACTTTTTGAGGGGAGAGGGGGGCTATACCATTAGGGACGTAGAAAGGTAACCTATTTTAAATGCTTATTTTGATTTGAAAAACGTTTTACACAGTTTGCCTATTGTCTTGAATTATTGTTGAAGATTCCCATACAAACTAGACCTTTATTTAATGGTTTGTCCTGTAACAGAAAATGCACCCCTATTTCACACTAATTGGAATTTCCTTTCAGCCACAGATGGCGCCAGAGAATCGGCGCGTGATCACCGAGACTCAAAAAAAGGATAAGAGGACCATAAGATTGAGGTATTTTTGGTAAGTAATATAAATTCTTGGATGATGACGATGTATAAATTGTTACGAAAGTGGAATACTTACTCTTGTCTTTCAAGAGTCGACAGGTTAATATTAACTTAGATAATGTTTGCAAATTAGCCAGGCTAATGCTAAATGAGTTGACATAAAAAATATGCTAAATACATGTAGCAGCTTCACTATAAAATAGATTTGGGTACATTTATTTTGCCAAACTGAGAGGCACAATATGCAGTATTACAGTTCGTTGAATTGGATTTTTTTTGTTCTCTCTTTTTTTGTAGATGATGGAGTGTGAGGGACAGACATCGATCAATGGTGGAGAAGACAGACACTGGTAATGTCTTACCCCAAGATTCCACATACTCCGTCACCTCTCTGTCCCACTCACGTACGTTGTGCGGAGTACTTGTCTTTCATGTAAATCAATGAGAGCTGTTCCAAATCCACCACTACTCCTTTGCACGTCACCACCCACGTAGATCTTCTCAGTCCATCAACGCCAAAATACTGAAGTGGAGCAAAAAATCGGCTCTGGTCCGGAAAGAAAAGAACCCCAGAGAGATACATAAATCCCATCAAGATTCTTTTCATTATGATTATTACTTTCAGACCAGCAAATGAACCATTTACTGAAATGAAGATAGATAATGGGGTAACCAAATAGGCTTTTAAATATTTGAAAGGCTTAATGCTTCTGATGCAAAATCTGTGACCCAATGGCAGAGTGCAGGGAAATGTTAGTGTCAAACTCAAAACAAAGGTGTGTCTGCTCTCAGCTCTACAGTGTTTCCAATGCAAATACCTTATTTTAAAAAAAATCACCTCACTTGGTATCTCTCAACAGATATAGGAAACCATTATAGAAACCATTAAAGAATTTAGTTTAAAAACAAAACTTTTGGATTTAATTATAGTTACTTCTGTCTGTTAAAACATGTCGATTATTTCAAACTTTTTAGATTTCTATACTAAAATTAATTATAGAAGTTACCCTTCCGTACCCACTCTATTGCAGATTCCATATAATTCACTCCATGCAGGTTGAGGATGAAGTTTTTTGTCTGCTTATCCTAGTTTCTACTCAGTTTGCCATTAGTATCCCAATCTTCCCATAGATGCATTTTAATAATTCAGAAAAGATAATTAAATTATTCCATCCAATAATTACACTGATTTCTTACTCAGAGTAAATACTTTTTAAGGTGTTGTTTCTGTCAAAGCTAATGAAAAATATACTCAAGAATGTGAACAACAACAAAAAAAAAACTACTTTATTTCATTAATGGGGGATTCATAAAAATTATCTATAATTCACAATACCGGAGGCATATTGTGAATTATATGTATATGTAATTATTATTTTGTAAACCTTAAACTTGACATTTTTTTGATTACTCTCATTACTTAAATATTCATACTTAGTATAGCTTTGACTAAATACCCTTTTTAATTCCATAGAAACCAAAGCTTTCAACTCTACATTCAGTCATTCGTACACTGATGGAGGAAAGCTAAACTGTAGGTACAGCTGCCCTGGAGCAGAGTGACCAAACCAAGGCTGCAAAACACAGGCAACACCGGCGCTTCTGCCCACAAACAGCTGACAAGGTTGGTTATGTTTCTGCCCAAGGACCAGGCAACACAAACATGAGCATTGACTTGAACAGCAACTCACTTGTTAAAGGACAAACCCCTTACTCTTGTACCCTCATCACCCTGGAGGACAACATCAACACTTTCAAACAAAATGTTAGTGAGAAAAAAAAGGATCCATTTTGGTATAGGACGTAAATATTTAAAAGCTCAAAATGCCATTGTTCTAAATTATATTGGAATAAATATTATGTTGATTCTTTAGCATGCCATTTGTTCTTAAGAACCATATGCAGCTTCTGACCCCTGATATAGAATATTTAAAACAAGCTGCCTTTATGTTTACTAGAGCCTATTAGTAAAAATAAACAAATTAAGACCCCAAATATTATCTTATTAATGCCAAAGTAAACATTTTACTTTTAATAAAATATAATTAGAATTTATTTCAATTAATATTTCTTTTTTTTTCAAATAAAAATAACTAATTATTTTTCTTTGAAAGAAATTTCTAAAAACATTTTATTACCAAAATAAAAAAAAACCTAAGTACTCACCTAGAAAAGAAGGGATTCAGTCTAGACTTAGACTATAACTCGTGCCATTTGAAATATCAATGCAACGTTCATAAGCTGTATGTAACGCAATTTCGTTCTGTATGCACCCTGTGCATACAAAATGACAAATAAAGAAGTCTAAGTCTAAGTCTAAGACTGAACTTTATTTATCCCTCTGGATTAGTCCTCAGGGAAATTTTGGTTCCAATAGCTTATTGAGTACAATTGTTAAAGGAAGTTACCATTAATTAACTAACCCTAGCAGTTTGACGTGTTATTCATGAAAATAGTAGGTTTAAGCAGAAATAATTGTTTGTGTAGTCTAAAGACTTTGCAAATCCTCTGAACATTTGATATAGATCATTTTACTACAGGCCGTCATAGCAACAGGCTTTGCATGTTTAAGAAAATCGATGATTACCCATGTATCATACAGAAAGCCTTTTCAGAGCCTGGTCATAACATTAGTACTTCCTACCTCCTCAGAGCAGCATCATGATGGGGAAGATGTTGTTGGGACTCTTGTTTCTTCTAGGTGAGTGACTTCAAGTTTATATATTTAACTACATAAACTGTAGTTAAAAGCCTTTAGCTGATCTAAAATTCTGCAGCCAGAGTTCTGATGAAAATAAAAAAGAGAGATTCATATTCCTATCCTAGCTTCTCCTTATTGGCTTCCTGTTAAATCCAGATAGAATTTCAAATCCTCCTTCTCACATAGAAAGCCTTAAATGGCCAAGCTCCATCTTACATCAGAGATCTGATTGTTCCTTATGTTCCTAACAGAGCACTTCGCTCTCAATCTGCAGGTTTACTAGTGGTTCCTAGAATTTCTAAAAGTTAAATTAAAGGCAGATCTTTTAGTTACTAGAATCCTCTCCTGTTGAACCAACTACCAGTTTCAGTATGTGAGGCAGACACCCAGTCTGCTTTTAAGGGTCAGCTTAAAACTTTCCTTTTTTATAAAGATATTAGTGAGAGTTGCTCAGGTTATCCTTAGCTATCTCTATAGCTATGCTGCTATAGGTTTAAACTGCTGGAGAACATAGGGACCTCCTTTTCATCATGCTGCTTCATTCTATCTCTATTCTTCCACTCTGCAGAATTTGTTAGTGCAATCTCTGACATTATGCTCTCTTTGCCTTTTCTCATAGTAGCCTCATCTGGCCTGTTTTTGTTTGGCTGTGACTCCATCCTGGAGAGAAATATCAGCTGTGCTGCTGCCATCAACACCTTTTTTTGTAGATGTTTGAGCTCTGCTTACTTTTCAGTCCTGTTGGTCCGATTATGATGGGCTGGATGTGCTCTCTTTGATCCTCTGAAGTGGGAGCTGGCTCGAAGCTCGTCTGCATGGCTGTGTGTTTCCTACACGGGGCTGCCTATGGAGATGGTTGACAAGTTCCTTTGTAGCTCTGCTTCCGTCTGCTTCTGTATCCTTGAACCCCAATCGGCCTCAGCAGATGGCCATTCACACTGAGCCTGGTTCTGCTGGAGGTTAAAAGGGAGTTTTTCCTCTCTACTGTCGCTATAAACATGTTTGGTGTGAGGGATTGCCTTCGAGTCAACAGGTTTTCCTTAGATAGAAAACTTAGAAGAGAAGTGCCTAGTGATGACATGTGTTGTGCATTGGTGCCATATAAATAAACTGAAATTAAATGAATATATGGTGGTATTAAACCTTTTGAGCAAAGCATCACTGCATGATGTCAAATAAGAATTTTAAATCTATTTTTCAGACTGGGTGGTCCTCTCCACCTGCATCCTCCCTCAGTACTATTTTGTCAATACATTATTGAATTGGACTGAAGCTCAGACCTACTGCAGACAGAGGAATGCAGACCTGGCCACCATCCTAAACTCTGAGGAACAGAACCAAATAATCCAAACTCTTACCTCTGCTGGACACCGCTATAATGTCTGGTTTGGTCTTTTTAATGAAGTCGACTGGAAATGGTCTGATGGTTACACTGGGAATGGATCTGACTACAGAAATTGGGCATTAAATCATCCAACACGGCATGACCTTAATGAGCTATGTGTAGGATCACATTATAGTGGAGGATGGTTTGATGCTGACTGCGCAGGACGCCGCCAGTTTTTGTGTTACAAAGGTAAAAATATAAATTAAGCTCACCATTCTTTAAAGCATTATTGTCAAACATAAATTCTCTGCTTAACATTATCCTACATTGTTGTCACTAACAGGCTCACACTTGGATCCTGAATTTGTTTATGTGAATACAATAATGAACTGGTCCAATGCTCAGATTTACTGTAGAGAGAACTTTGTTGACCTGGCCTCCATAAAAGATTATACAGAGTACCAGCAGGTGCAGAGGCTGATACCTACATATTACTATCCATGGATTGGTCTATATAGAGATCCAAATCTTCACTGGTCTAATGGGAGCAGCGTCCTCTTCACCAACTGGGATACCTATGGTATTTTTATTGGCTCCAAGACAGTCATGTGTGGTGCTACATCTACTCAGAGATCAGGAAAATGGAGGTTTTTGCACTGTGAAACAAGGTTACCATTTGTCTGTTATGGTCCTCCAGGTGAGTTTTTAAAGTTGCATTTCATAAGAATCAGACATGTGCATATTAGTTAGCTTTTTGTCCTGATTTCTAGCATGCAAAAATAGGTTCTATATTACTGTTTAATACCTTTCGTAAAGTTGGTCAAGCAAATCCCATTTAAGTGTTTAAGAAGCAAAGCATAATATTCATTACTATGCCATAATTTCCTCTCCATAATGCCCAATTTAGTTATTTACTTCTTGTTCTTCTTATAACTACGTTTACTGACAGAAAGGGAAGTTCCCTACTGAAGCTTTCCCGAGTCAGTTTCAATACACATCTCTAACGTAGACTTAGGGACTTAGACAAATTTATTTTGTCATTTTGTATATACAAGTGAAAAAAAAGAAATTTTGTTCAAAACAGCTCTCTAGACAATCTCATTCTTCAAAGTGCAGCCTTGACAAGGCAAGCAGCAGCGATTAAAAAAAAAAAACCCACTGGGATATTAAGTCACTATAGTTAGTTATGGAATGCACATCATTCATGTTTGCTTGGCAACAGTGATGTCAGACAGATCTGTATAGGATCTTAGCTTCCAATTTGGATTTGTTCCCTGGTGGAAGAGGATCTGATGCTGGAGCATTAGGGGCCTGTTGCCTGGGCTTCACCCATCAGTTGTTGTTGAGCTGCTACTACTGCCTCCAGTTCCAGAAGCACTCGCTTCTCCTGGCTCCTTCTCCTTGGCTCAACATAGATTAATTTGTTTAAGATTGTGACATTTTCACAATGTAATAGTTGGTGGTCTATCTCTATGTTTCTGGGCTCAAGCTAAAGAAACTGCAAAAACCCACTATGTGGACCCGCCAAAGCAGTGAAGAACGTCAAGATCAGCGGCCATTCAATCTGGGTGGCAGTTGAAGGCAGGAGTCTTGTTTGGCTAATTCCTAGAAACCTGACCTGCATTTGAGAGAAATAAATTCTAAAAATTGAAGTTACAAAGGAAATAACTCTAATTCAATCAATAAAGTCACATTTACATCTTCAGTTTTGCTGTCTGTGTACCAAAAATGGTTTTGATAAGAATAAGAGTTTTCAGGATACAGACTATCCTATTAGAGAATCGCATCACAGGAATATCAGACTGGATTTAAGCAGAAGTACTAATTTCACAACATCCCTGTCATTGTATTTCATACGTATTTCCTTCAATGTAAAATAAAATGTTTCTATAATGATAAATTCCTCATTTCAAAATAGCTATAAAAAAGATTGTGAAGCTCAGACTCCAGTCAGAGGACTCTGTGGATCTGAATGACCCTGTTCTAAGAGGAAACATCCTGAAAAAGGCAGGTTTAAAATTAAGACCATATTATCTAATGCAAATGAATAATAAAATCTGATCCCAAAATTTAAAAAAAAGTCTGTACTTTTTGTGTTCCAATTTTGTCTTACAGCTTCAGAACAAACTGCAGGAGAACGGAGTGAGTGGAGTTACCCTGAAGTGGAGCGAGCAGCCTGATGGGAAAGTCTTCAAAAAGGAGAAGAAAGAATTATAAACTAATAAATATTAAACCTGTTTGCATTTTTTCTAGGTTACAATGTACTTTTTATCATTCAGAAATCAAGTTATTGGAAATTAATATTTGTAACAGTAACAATCTAAATAATGTGATTACACTCTGTTCTCCATATGCAAGTCAAATTTTGTGGTGGTGGTTTTAGACCACATTCTATATATATGGTAGGAATTTGCACAAAAAAAAAAACATTATTTGCCATGATCTGCATGTGTTTGTCTTTTGGTTATCTTTAGTGTTAGCTTTCTGATTATCTCTGAGTTGCCTATGATGTCAGTAAAAGTCTTGCTACGTTCAGTTTTTTCCATTAGAAATGTGTACGTTGGTTTATTTTCTTTACCTCAGTTTTAGACCTTTTGCTTTTTTATTTGTATATTCTAAGTTCATCTCCCTCTGCATCATATATATAAATTATTAATTTTCCCTGGTTTCCCTTCTCATGATTTTCTTCTTTCACATTTCCTCTCATTAAGCTGACTTGGTTCCGTGGTCATTCTCCACCGTTCCCTCATATTTAAGCTCCTCTTTTTTAAAGGTTGCTGGATTCTTCTGTAAGCACCGACTATTTGCATGTCCTGCTCTCTAATGTAAAAACATGAAATTTATCTCTTTCTATTATTATTAAAGACTTAGCTGCTCTCCATCACTGGCAGTTTTGGGGTCTCAATTTAAACCACAACAATGTCATTATTTATATCTCTTATCTGTTGAACTGTAAAGTGTCTTGAGATGACATGTGTTGTGAATTGGCGCTATAGAAATAAACTGAATTAAATTGAATTAAAGTTTTCTACAGTATATGTAGTCAGCTGTTTTCCTCTCTATGAGCGCTATTCATTGGGAGATAAAGTGATGAATAAAGCCAAAGCAAACATGAAACCAGAAAATATGTGTGAAGAAAAAACTTTAATTCCATTGTTATATTAAGTTTTTCATTATTAGCTATTTTAGTTTTTGTATCCTGTAACCTTAGAAGACGTAATAACAGAAGAAGCAGAAACAAATGTCAACACAAGAGCAAACTGGCAGCATTTGAGCCAACACACCTTTTTAGACACTAATTCTTATTCTGTATTAGTATGGTAGAGAATATCATTAATTAATCTGCATAGAAACAAGTATGTTGAAGTAAAGCTATTAAAAAAATATAAAGCTGAGTGAGGTTTCATATGTTCAAGGCTTTTAGCAGTTCAAACAACTTCATGTTTATTTTCAAAGTGCTTCTTTATTTCTGATCAAAGATTAGGAGAGTTAAACTTCATAGTTGCAATCAGAATTATGCTTTTATCAAGGTTTGATAGTCATTGGTCCAACCCTCCAAACATTGATAGGCTTCCTGTAGCATGTTGAATGATTGCTGATGAAGGCAAGTAGTGAGGTGTTTTAGTAAAGCAAGTGGTTATGAAAACAATTAAATTAGAATATTTTTGAGAGATTGAACCTTAAACTATTGTTTTTGTATTTAAATGATCTGTTTCTTTTAACTCCTCCTTAATATTAGCTATTTTATTTTTCTAGAATTTGTAAATTGCTCTGTTTAACACAGAATCATTTCACTTAAAGAGCATATTGCAGGTTAGAGCCCCACTTTTATCAATGCTTGGAAAGATATGTAAGGAATAGTTTTTTAATCAAAATATTCATATATATGAACTATTCTGAGTCACCTTGGTAGCTGTGGGGATGTGGACGCTGGCCTTTGGTAGGAGAGTGGCTTGTTTTTCAGATAAATTGTACTTCTGTATATAGAACAGGGTACCGGAAGTGATCTGACGTCAGGGAGTCCGCTTAGCTTTACAGCAGTATACAAAGCATAGCAACACTAATTTAAGCAGCAACTTCTGGCAAATGATTTTTAGTGGTATAAATAATATTAATAACTAGCTCAGCACTATAGAATACATAAAGGCCCAAACTGTCCATAAGTCACTCTGGGAAAGGGAAGAACAGTGTAAAAATAAATAAGCAAATAAAGGTTTTAATGATGATTGTAATTCTAATCTGTAGCCACTGGATGCCAGCATTGTGCTTTGAATAATGAAAACTCACACACACACACACACACACACACATATATATATATATATATATATATATATATATATATATATATATATATATATATATATATATGATGATTATGACTTGAATAAAAATTAAGTAACTTTTGTGTCTCCAAAACTCTAAGGGCTTCAGGTTTAGTGAGTTTTCTGCCCAGTCAGGCACAGTAACACTACAGTCATTAAACTCGATTTAAGGAGTATAGTCTTACTGAAAAAGAAATAATCTGCAGGAGATAAATCTTTTAGAATTAAGAAGAAAGAAATTTATTTTTTTTTGATTTTGTCAAAAACATATAAAGATATCAGATATACGCCTAATTTATGCTTTCATTACAGTTTTGATTTGTTCGTAAAAAGTACACTACCGTTCAAAAGTTTGGGTTCACATTGGGGGGGTAGGTTTTCACACCTCTGGTGGCTTCCATGTGAATTGCCTGTGGAGGCCTTCCCTGAAACGGGGTTGTTGCAGAGATTCTACAGCTGATTCCACATAATCATGTCAAGATGAAACATAGACACTGTTTGGAGCTGGAGAAGTTCCACCTTTCTCCAGCAGAGTCTGCCGTGGATCCTCCTGAGTGAGCCTTCTGCACAGCTGCAGCCCATCAGATCATCAGAGGATCCACTACTTAAGCTGTCTTCAGACCTTGCCTCAACGCCGCAGTGTTGATCCAGTTGGTCAGCGCCTAAGCCTAGACTCTCAGTGAATCTTTGTTGACTCTTGAATCCAGCCTGGATTCTAATCCTTGTCTCTGTCTTCCAGGAAACCAGTTTCTCCCCTGTGGAGCTCAGGAAGAGCTAACCTGCCGAGCCTACCCTCAGAGCCAAACCTGAAGAACCACAGTGAACTTCCATGCAGCTCAGGACTAAGAGCTGGAAAACTCAAAGCCAAGGACTGGCCAAGGACTGAGCAGTGCTGCAGAGTGCAAAAGCTTAGCTTATTCCCCTTCACAGGTTGATGATTTTGTTGAGGGGGTTGCTAGTTCTCTGCGTATTGCCTTAGACAACGCAGCTCCTTTGAAAATGAAAACCGTTAAAAATAGAAAGCTTGCTCCTTGGTTTAATGCAGAGCTACGTACTTTGAAGCAAAATGCTAGGAAACTGGAGAGAAAATATCGCTCCACAGGCCTGCGAGAGTCCTTCCTAGTCTGGAAAAATGGTTTACTGCTGTATAAGAGGACCCTTTGTAAAGCAAGAGCAGCATACTTCTCCTCATTAATAGAGGAGAATAAGAATAATCCTAGATTTCTTTTTAATACAGTTGCCAAACTCACCCAGAGCCATAGCTCTGTTGAACCGTCCATTCCACCTGCTCTTAGCAGCAATGATTTTATGGGATTCTTTATAAATAAGATTGATCTTATTAAAAATAAGATCATAAGCACTCCTCTATCCGCGATTGTACCTGAGGTAGTCATGGAATCTGAACCGGGTTTAGACTGCTTTGATCCAGTTGAACTCTCTGAATTAGCAAAATTATTGTCTTCATCTAAGCCTTCAACTTGTATGTTAGATCCAGTTCCAACCAGGTTATTTAAGGAGGTATTCCCTTTGATCTCCTCCTCCATTTTAGATGTGATTAATCTATCTCTGTTACAGGGATATTTACCTAAAGCTTTTAAGATTGCTGTAATTAAACCTCTGCTTAAGAAACCGTCTCTTGACCCAGATGACTTGGTCAATTATAGACCTATATCCAATCTTCCTTTCTTATCCAAAATTCTTGAGAAAGTAGTTGCCAAACAAGTTTGCGATCACTTCCACCATAATGAACTTTTTGAAGAGTTTCAGTCTGGCTTTAGAGCTCATCATAGCACTGAAACAGCTCTGGTGAAAGTCACTAATGATATTCTCATGGCCTCAGATAATGGACTTGTATCTGTGCTCGTCCTGTTGGATCTTAGTGCTGCATTTGATACAGTTGACCATAATATTCTTTTAGAAAGACTTGAATATTTTGTTGGAATTAAAGGAACAGAACTAGACTGGTTTAAATCTTATCTATCTGATCGAATTCAGTTTGTTCATGTTAATGATAGATCTTCAACACGCTCAAAGGTTACCTGTGGAGTACCACAGGGATCAGTGCTAGGACCAATTCTCTTTACTTTATACATGCTCCCAATTGGTAGAATTATTAGACAGCATGGGATTAATTTCCACTGTTATGCTGATGATACCCAGCTATATCTGTCTATAAATCCAGATGAAGCTAACCCATTACATAGATTACAGGCATGTCTTGAAGACATAAAAACCTGGATGACTCTTAATTTTCTGCTTCTGAATGCAGACAAAACAGAAGTTATAGTCTTTGGACCAGAGTCTCTGAAAAAGAAACTGATTAGCCAGTCACTTCATTTGGATGGGATTAAACTGATTTCAGATAATAAAGTAAAAAATCTTGGTGTTATTTTTGATCAGGACCTGTCATTTAAATCCCATATCAAAGAGGTTTCTAGAATTTCCTTCTTTCATCTGAGGAACATTGCAAAAATTAGAAATATCCTGTCCAGGGGTGATGCTGAGAAACTAGTCCATGCATTTGTTACTTCAAGGCTGGACTATTGTAATTCTTTACTATCAGGAAGTCCACAAACTGTAGTTAAAAGCCTTCAGCTGATCCAAAATGCTGCAGCCAGAGTTCTAATGAAAATGAAAAAGAGAGATCATATCTCTCCTATCCTGGCTTCTCTTCATTGGCTTCCTGTTAAATCAAGAATAGAATTTAAAATCCTCCTTCTCACATATAAAGCCTTAAATGGCCAAGCTCCATCTTATATCAGAGATCTGATTGTTCCTTATGTTCCTAACAGAGCACTTCGCTCTCAATCTGCAGGTTTACTAGTGGTTCCTAGAATTTCTAAAAGTAGAATGGGAGGCAGATCTTTTAGTTATCAGGCTCCTCTCCTGTGG